AGACCGTAACGTTTCATAATTATAGACGTCTATGGTAATGAGGAGCTGGACCCCAAAGTTGCGAAACTAGCACTCAACCTAAAATCAGCCGTTGCGAAAGAGTTAGTTGTACAGAAACAGGTGAGAATCCCAGTACTACAAACGAATAGGTTTGTTTTTTGATGCTGTTTTTTTCCTCATTTTGTTATTTCTGGAACTGCGCAAGCTGCAGAAAGAAAAAAACTTCTTCGCGCAGTAAGAGTGATAGCTCATTCGAGAGGTTATTCAAACGATGCCTGGAATTTAATTTAGGTTGTTAGTTGTTGTTTTGGGACACCATGAGGATTTTCGAGTGAGTAAGTACATCATAGGAGTTAAGTAGAGCAAGTTAGCCTGCTCTTAGCTGATGTTTGACGGCTGCTTTTTGGGCTTCAATCGGCACTTTTAAGGCAAGGGTGACGAAAAAGAGGTTAGGAATTCCATAACGTGCGCCAGAATCGCACAAGAGCACTCGTTCTAACGAGCAATGGCCATCCAAGGTCATATGGCCTGTGTGCATGACTATAGTCTTTCTTCGCTGCGGGTCGTGTTAGCGCGGCTGCGTTTGGCGCGGCGCTAACCCGTTTTTCTCTCAAAGATAGTATCATATCGTTCGTAAGACTCGCTTTCCGCTGTGGGCGCCTGGTATGCGGGCGGGTGCCGCGCTTGCCAAACCAATCGGCATGCGAACCTCCCTATTCTTTCGCAGTGAAGAAAACTGTCGCATCGTCAAAACATATATCGTGAGCGGAAGGAACATGGGAATGCCAAAATGTCTTTAGCAGCTGACAAAAACGGTTATTAAGGCATCCGTGCCCGTATCTATCCCGACGTCTTCTCAAAACAAGCTGATCATTTAAGCCAGTCACGAAATCTTGTTATTCGGACGAGTTGGTCCGTCGCAGAGGGCGGGATGGAGACGGCAATCACAGCAGCTAATGCCCCCTGGTTGCAGTATGAATGCGCGCACGTGCAGCTTTGACGTACACCCCATTCTCAATAAAGTAGCTAATTTATTTCGATTCCGGAATGAGGCACTGGTGTGAGACTGTTGGCTGTTGATGAATTTCACATTACAGCTTACGCAAACGTTGGGTGCTCTGGAATCGATAATAAATTGTGCACGTGTCGCTTCACTGCGTTACGAACCTCCGCCGGTAACTTTTTTTATAAATACACTACAGTGAATATTTTGTCTGCTTTTCAAGCAGGTGTAATCTTCCCGATTTAGGATAAAAAGGCGTTAGCTGAAAATGGCTTGATGGAAATATCGTCGAAACAAGGTGATCCATATGGTTTATTTGGTGAGCCCACATTAGGCTCTGTCACACTGGATTTGCTTGACACGAAGGGATGATTAAAATGCTCTTCATCATGTACATTTCTTTTTTAAATTTGCGAGCTTTTATTCAGAAAATGCCCATTAAGAGTATGTATTTGGGAAGAAGTCTTGATATGTGTTCAAATGTCCTATAGTTTCAAGTCTGACCATTCGTTTCGTCTTGTCAGTGGTGAGTATGAACTGTAGGTCCTCTTTTGCTGCAACGGGCGATGTCGTTAAAACTGCCGGCTTACCTTGCCAACGATTTACTTGACCTGAGAGCACCCGCGCCCTGTAACGGTGACTGAGTTTGAACATTTTGCGATGCGACCCTATGGACCCTTGTGGATGGCAACAGTCAAACACGAAAAAAGTGACCTAATACTGAGCGTTTCCTAGCTGTACCATAGATCGAGCACACTAGAAAAAAGGGATTGGTTTGAAATGGGTCCGATTCTGAGGCTCCCTATAATATACGCGAGGGGTCGCCTACCAACACTCCCCCATATAACGGAGATGGAATTAGCTCACCAGCGCAAGTGCGTTTGAGTAGTTTTTTGTGATACTCTTACTCAAAGATTGCTCGCTGCTGATGGCTGAATTCCATTTGAAACAATTGCCATCCTGCACTGCACAGGATAAGCTAATGATTGAGATTGTGTCAGAACGGCAATATCTCACAAGAGGCGAGTCTACGGACAACTTGAACTCAATCCCTTTAAACTCGTCGAACTTCTCCTTTTCTCTGCACTCTCTCGTCCGCATGGCACTCAATGGCTCAATGGACTTTGCACATTCCAGCTTTTCACCGATTATAAGTAACTCACCCACCCCGGAGTCCCCTTTCCTTGAAGAAGCGTGTTTCCCGGCTCACCATATGTTTCTTGCACGTTGCGATGCTCTAGCAATCACTGTCCTCTATCCGTCTGCGTCACAGGGTTTCGTAACAGGACCATGCACAAAAGTTCGAGAAGTCACGTACCAAGCGCAGCCGCTTGCCTAGGCGTAAAAGCCTAAGTTTGCAGCCACGCCCTCTCCATCAACGAAATATGAAGGTGTGGTTGTTCGAAAATTTTCTGTAGATTTGTTATTATCCTCGTCTGAAATGCCGTGTATTGTTCTGGCTTATCTCACTGCCTGATAACTTTCCTACAGAGTTTTTGTCCATTTGTTTTTGCAGATGTTCTGCAGTATTTACGGATCATTGTTGTTACTTGTTGAATCAGTACATTTGTTGATTTTTTTCAATTTTGTTTTAGGATTGACATAGTTTCTGTTGGACATGGCTTTTGATATTGCTTGTTGCTTTGCATTAAACTCAGGAAGCAAGTATTTTTTTTCTTTTTTTCTCGACTTTCGGGCGCGATCCAACGAATAGGTGTAGATGTGGTCTTAGCAGATCGTTTTCGGCTTCCTAATGATAACGGTGTAATGCTAAGGAACAGGAACATGTTTCACAAAGAGCTCGCGGGTAGCCGTGGCACATCAGTGTTAAGGTTTTCATGGGGAGCGGCAGTATTTTGTTTTGTTGCGCGCGCGGCGTAATTCACTGGAATGCGGTGCTGTGAATGCGGAGTTCCGTGGGGAAAGATTGTGATCTTTCATGTTCTGTCGTCAATTACTGAAACCGCCTAGTAGCCCCCAGCCCCCTCCATAGCGGTGCTCATTCTCTTTTCAGGCTACTAATTTCAGCCTCCGTCTTGTTTGGAACGGGAAATTTTGAGTTAAGTTGGGAGGGCGCTGAATGTATGTAGATCAAACCATTGACATAGGTGTACGTGGTATTTGGCATCGCAAATGGTACAGATGTGAGAAACGTGAGGAATGCGAGACGATAGAGCACTCCCTCTCCGTTCTACCAATTCTCATGATTCTCCACTATCCTGCCCACTTTCCGAAATTTCCCGAAAACTTCCCACCTGTTTCCCAAAAATTTTTGCGTGCCGAGCGGGGAGGCCTCGCGGGGAGGCTGATCTCAATGATGACATCGAGCTGGGTCGAGTGCAATTATCCTTCATATTTTCATTAGATGAGCAGATCTATATATACTTTAGTTCGATAAAGCGTGAGAGGGGTCCGTTCAATGTATGCGCTGCCATTGCGTCAAGCCCTTTCTTTCGCCAGATGGTTTGCAAGAAGTTATGCGACCACGTACTTGCGTGGAAATCGAGTGGATACATACAATTGTCCCGTCAGTGGGAGGACGGCGTTTGCGTACAGCTCCAGACTCAACTCACCTGACACGCCTCTTCGCATCGAACTAGACAGTATCTTTTTTGCTTGCTTCATTTTAACCAGCTTGGCTGACGCGCACTACTGCGCGCATGGTTCAACCTATGGTGCTCCTTACTACGGACTTCTGTGCCTAACCCACTAACACTTGGCTTAATTCCCATGCTTCGAAATACGGCCAATTTACCATTTTTGCACCTAAAATGAACAATGTCTGGTGCTTATCACATTTCTAACAACACTCGCCATTCGTTGGAAATAGGACAGCTTAGTGGCTGAAAGAGTTTCGATGGTAACAATATCGAAATCGTAGTGAATGCCCTTACATCCTAGTACTTCCGTTGAGCAGCTTTCACTTATCCGTCTGCCGGTAGGTCTTATCATCTCTCACTGACAAACATCTCGGCCTTTAATTTTGGGTGAAACTCCAGAGTTTAGCGGTCGAATCAATTTCAACCGCCAAACTAAGGGATTTCGCTAAAGGCTGGAAACAACTTGGCTCACTGAGCCTTTGCCCTTTGGTTCTTTGGCAACGGTGGTCAATTTACTCGCAAGCAGAGTAAGGATGCGATAGATACTGACTCTTAAACCTAATGAACACTATCAGAATTCATCGACCACCACCAAAATTTCCCACCTGCTGGAGGCAGTTCCCCAGTGATATTACAAAACACCGTTGCTATGTAATTTTGCAAGCCTTCCTTTGAAGTGGGCCCTTACGGTGTTCTATCACTGCTTATAACTTCGTAGCACTCCAATATATGTTTCCATTTTGCCCCCTATCTTACTTCTTGGAACTAATGTCCTGCCATCGCTGTGACGCATGTTATGGAGTTGATAGCCCTCCCTTTGTGAAGCCCCTTGTGCTATCTTATCAGCTGTTATCAGTTCCTGCCACCCACCAATAAGGTTTCCATCCTGTCCCCCATCTCACTTACTTGGAATCAACGTCCTACCGTCGCTGTGACACTCACTATGAATTTGGTGACCTTCCCCTTCCAAGACCCCTCATTGTATCTTATCAGCTGTTATCACTTTCTGCCACCCACCAATAATGTTCCCATCCTGCACCCTATCTTCCCTCTTGGAACCAACGCCCCATCGTTGCTGTGGCCCGCGCTATGGAGTTGGTGGCCTTTCCCTTCTAAGGACCTTTCTGGTATCTTATCAGCGTGTTAATCACGTTCCTGCCACCCACCAATAATGTTCCTGCCCGACCTCCTACATCATCTATCAGTTTGAGCGCATTATCACTGTTTTGAAGGAAGTTATGAATTTCCGGTCACACACACACACACACACACACACACACACACACACACACACACACACACACACACACACACACACACACACACACACACACACACACACACACACACACACACACACACACACCACAGACAAACTTAGCGGATTATATATAGTAGGATAATTCGTGGGGAAGTCTGTCGTTTCACTCGATTCCTAGGCAGTGTGAGATTGAGAATCCTAATTCTTCATTGAATAGTCTTCTATGATGTATCTACGAAGTGCTTTGTCGAGATTCCTCTCTCGCTGGCATATTCGGATGGTGGCGCCTGTCATCTCCTGTGTAGCAGAACCTCCCAGATTGAAGATTGTTGGCCCTCAAGGTTCCTAAATAATGAAGGATAGCTGGAGTCAAAGTATCATTCAGACAATAAAAATTTTCTGTCAACTGGTGAGAACCCAAATTTTACCTGAACCTGCCAGCACGCTTCGTCTCGTTCTACTAGCGCGCGACTAATAATCTGTATCATGGCCATGTATGTTGCGAAATATTGAAGTTCTGTAATGGTGTGTACTTATGAGTAATTTCTTAACAAAATAAAATTATGCGGCAGTATGGCTTTGAATAGCAAATTATTTTGATGCTCATTTACGTGAGATGGTACGCCTGAACCCGTCAAATCAATCTGGATCTGGTGCCAATGTCACGACTGCAATGCTTGGTTCGGCATCTCCGTAAGACTTAGTTCGCCTCCGTTCTTTGCGGTAGCACCGTTTCGAGCGTCGGTCAGCGACTAAGAAACTATAGATATCGATCAGGCGAAGGGCAACGTCTACCAGCGTCCACCAGCGTCGGCCAGCGACCATCAGCGTCTAGAGGGACTAGGAAAAGTGGACATGGACCTGGAGTCTACCAACGTCTATCAGCGACCACGAGCGCGGTATTGTGTAGTAGTACTGTGCGGTTGCAGGGGTTCGAATTTGACCGTGCACACGCCACAAATTCACGATGCTTAATCCAGCTGTCTCCTCCCTCCAACTTCCTCATACTCTACCAGCAGTCTGGTACCCTACTACTTCTCCATGCTCTCTACTCCTGATCATTGGTGGCTGGCAGACAGATGTAGACGCTAGATGGATATCCATACTTTTCTAGTCCCTCAAGACGCTGTTGGTAGTTGGCGAACGCTGATAAACGCTGGTAGACACCGGTAGACGCTGCCATTCGCTATATCGATATCTTTACTTTCCTAGTCGCTGACGCTGACGGACGCTCGAAACGCTGATGGTTGCTGGTGGACGCCGCCGCAAAGTATGAACGTTTTGCACCGGTGACAAGGGGTTTCCTGGTGATTCGACAGTGGATCGATAAGATACAGCTGTTATCTGCACTTCGTAGACTGCGAGACGATCAGGGCTATCTTCCCATGCAATCGGTCTTTGATAGTTGGGCAGAAGTCGCGTTCATGTAGATTCGGCGAAGGTTTTCTTATTCAGGTCGGGAGCTGTACAGTATTTTCAAGTAACCTTCGGCAATCACGGCACGTTATGGC